TTTCTCGCGTTCACAAATGATGACGTCATCTATAAATTGGTTTAAACCATGGTTCGAATCATTTGCTTCGCAAGAAAACGCCTTTGGTCTGCACAGGCTTTATGAGGAATTGTCAAGAATAATACCCACTACTACACCTCAATGAGGATAGACTATCCTGTGTAGTAGTGTGTATTATCCTTGACAGCGAACGAAGCTTTGTTTGGATCAAATCAGAACCTATTCGGAACAATCAGTTGAGTCCCGAGCAAAGAAGTGGAGTAACTAAAAATTGAAAATCTATTAATCCGCGATCGACATAATTCACACAGCGAATGCGAACAGTTCCGAATCGTTACTGAATCCATACTGTGCACGAGTTTTTGTTGCTACTTCGGAAGCAGTTCTGGATTTTATGTCACTGGTAACGATTTTGGAAGAGGAAACGAGAATTCGGAAATCTTCCTTTTGCTTGGAACCGTTAGAACCGATTCCATTTGATCCGCATAAAAATTTGAACTGCGTACACGAACGAATAGTTCCGAATCGTTTTCGTTACACGAAAATATTATTCTCTACTCTAGAAAGGCGAGACAGATACGTTCTAGTGCAGCTAGTAAGTACAAACAGTGTAGTTGGTTTCACTCCAACCTAGGATAATGCAAAATGAAAGTAACTTCTGGTTGTATTCTTTTCACACGTAGGAGGAGCTCCGACGGGTTACAAGCTCATTCGTTTCGGAAAGTGTTTGTTGCACCATGCATCTGTTCCTTGGAAATCTGGGGCGACTAACACTGGAGCGAAAAACTCTGATGTTTTAGACTCCTGAAAGGAATACAACTTCTCCTAAATCGTGTTTTCTGATCTGACATTTATTTGCAAAAGTAACCCAAGGAATTTTGCTCACTAATGATTTATATGATCCCGAACATAAATTACTGCCCTGCACTTCATAAATGCGAGTCAGTGCAGGTAATAGTATACGCCATCTAGTGCAAAGAACAGTGTTTGCTCTTAGTTTAAGGTTCAGTGTTTACAATTATTATAAGTAAAATTTTGTTTCACTCCGACCTACCCCTGACTTTGACCGAGGATACTGCAAAATAATAAAAGCTAGCTTCGTGTTTTGTGATCTGACACTAAAAGACACTGTGAAAGTAACCCGAGAAATTTTACTCGCTGATGATTTATTTATATTAACCCGAACATTGATTGTTATTAGGTGTGTTCGTACAGTAATCACAAACTAGAACGTTTTTGACTGGTGCAAATTCCCAACAACCAGTTTTCTGACTATTTTCAACCAATGAAATTCGCTCTGACTGATTTGTAATTTCTGTGTTCCATGTTCCATTACCTCGAACTTGCTCTCAGTTCCAAAATGTTCTACTCTAGAAATAGAACAGGTCACGTTTGGCTCGCTCATGATCTGAGATGTTTTCTCGCGGAACTGGTTCGATCCGGTGCAATTCGGTTCGAACCTGTACATTCTTGCGTCGAACCAGTGACGTCACATTGACCCTGGTTCAAAAAAGTTCCAACCGGACTCTTGAATCGAATTTTCGTGACGAACTACTTCCATGATTTTTTAAACACAAACGCATCCGCGAGAAGTTCATTACGTCATATTGAACGTAGTTCGACGGAAGTATGATGGACGTAGCTTCTAGCCATCATCAAACTCATGACGTCACAGATGAACTATGGTTCATCCTTGGATGAACTACATTTGTCGTGAAAATTTGGTTTTGGTTTGTTCTCCGTTGACATAAGACTGTGTTCAAACTTTCCATTTCCTCGCGTTCACCAGTGATGACGTCAAAGTGACTTAACTAAAATAGAATTCTATTTATCGTTGCAGGTGCTTGCATTACCGGCATTTCCGAATTTAGTAGGTTAATGTTTGCGTACTTTTCAGAGAAGAAGATTTCGTTCCAATCGACTTTTTTTGCTCAAATTCTGTTTATTGTTGCCTCTAGAACACTAATTCTGGATTTAGTGTAGATTTTTTTATGTTCGAAACTAATCAGGCAACGTTAACAGTTACTTTATTTGGTCTGAAATTCTCGTTTTAGTGCACTAAATTTAACTCTGTTTATTCGTATCACTGTTTTAGAGTAAATAGAGTAGGTTTATTAATTGAAAAGTTGTATTAATTTCCCTCTTTATACTTAAACAAGAACATAATACTCTATTTGCCATATGTGGAGTACTCTAAGTAAGCAAATCGTTCAAAATTGTATTTTTTTTTAAATTTTGAAGTAAATAAAGTTCAAATATTGAGGATTATAAAGCCAAACGAGTTCGGAACAGGTTTTTGGGTTTAAGAACAAATAAAACCGATTTGGAACTGATTCTAGTTGCACCGCGAACAATTATCTGGAACACAAATTAAAAATTGCTCGATTGTGAACCAGTTCAAGATTTCAAAACCTATTCGGAACCGGTTTTAATTGAATTACGAATAATCGATGTGCTCCAATACAATTCAGTGTAGTTTATTCCGAATTCGGAACAGCATTTGTAGCAGTCGGAACTCTAAAAATCAATTTTGAAATGATTTGGAACCGGTTTCTAATGAATTGTTAATATGATTTAGGACACTAATTCAGGATTCTTGTGCACCGTATGCCTTATTTAATAATTTAGTTCATAATTTTTTCTAGTTCGGAACAACAATCGAACTACTCAGAATTCTAAAAACCAGTTCAGAAATGCTCTGGAATCAATAAACTATAGTAAGTTTAATAGTTCCAGGACAGTAATTGTGCACCGTATACGTATAATAATGAAACCACTTTATGATTTTCTCTAGTTCAGAACAACAATGGAATTACTCGGAACTCTGAGAACCAGTTCAAAAATTATATGAACTAGTTATCTAATGAACTGCGAATAATTCAATGTGTTCGGAACATTGTAACAATAATGGGTTGGTTCAGAATGTATGTTCGATATGAACAGATGCGTAAGCGCAGTTTAACCTATACTCAAATATGAACATAATTACTCTATTTGCCATATGTGGAGTACTCTAAGTAAGCAAATCGTTCAAAATTGTATTTTTTTTACTACTTTGAAGTAAATAGAGTAAGCTCGAATATTGAAGAGTATAAAGGCAAACGAGTTCGGAACAGGTTTTTGGGTTTAAGAACAAATAAAACCGATTTGGAACTGATTCCAGTTGCACCGCGAACAATGATCTGGAACACAAATTAAAAATTGCTCGATTGTGAACCAGTTCAAGATTTCAAAATCTATTCGGAACCGGTTTTAATTGAATTACGAATAATCGATATGCTCCAATACAATTCAGTGTAGTTTATTCCGAATTCGGAACAGCATTTGTAGCAGTCGGAACTCTAAAAATCAATTTTGAAATGATTTGGAACCGGTTCCTAATGAATTGTTAATATGATTTAGGACACTAATTCAGGATTCTCGTGCACCGTATGCCTTATTTAATAATTTAGTTCATAATTTTTTCTAGTTCGGAACAACAATCGAACTACTCAGAATTCTAAAAACCAGTTCAGAAATGCTCTGGAACCAATAAACTATAGTAAGTTTAATAGTTCCAGGACATTAATTGTGCACCGTATACGTATAATAATGAAACCACTTTATGATTTTCTCTAGTTCAGAACAACAATCGAATTACTCGGAACTCTGAGAACCAGTTCAAAAATTATATGAAGTTATCTAATGAAATGCGAATAATTCAATGTGTTCGGAACATTGTAACAATAATGGGTTGGTTCAGAATGTATGTTCGATATGAACAGATGCGTAAGCGCAGTTTAACCTATACTCAAATATGAACATAATTACTCTATTTGCCATATGTGGAGTACTCTAAGTAAGCAAATCGTTTAAAATTGTATTTTTTTTACTACTTTGAAGTAAATAGAGTAAGCTCGAATATTGAAGAGTATAAAGGCAAACGAGTTCGGAACAGGTTTTTGGGTTTAAGAATAAATAAAACCGATTTGGAACTGATTCTAGTTGCACCGCGGACAATGATCTGGAACACAAATTAAATATTGCCCGATTGTGAACCAATTCAAGACTCCAAGATCTATTCGGAACCGGTTTTAATTGAATTACGAACAATCAATGTGCTCCAATACAATTCAGTGTAGTTTATTCCGAATTCGGAACAGCATTTGTAGCAGTCGGAACTCTAAAAATCAATTTTGAAATGATTTGGAACCGGTTTCTAATGAATTGTTAATATGATTTAGGACACTAATTCAGGATTCTCGTGCACCGTATGCGTTATTTAATAATTTAGTTCATGATGTTTTCTAGTTCGGAACAACAATCGTACCACGCGGAACCTTAAAAACCAGTTCAGAAATGTTCTGGAACAAATGAACTATAATAAGTTTAATGGTTTCAGGACAATAATTGTGCATCGTATTCGTATAATAATAAACCAGTTCATGATTTTCTCTAGTTCGGAACAACAATCGAACTACTTGGAACTTTGAGAACCAGTTCAAAAATCATCTGGAACCGGTTCTAAATGAACTGCGAATAATTCAATGTGTTCGGAGCAACGCATGAGTAAGCGCAGTTCAATTTAGAACTGATTCTAAACTGAGTCCGAACAAACTAAATGAATTGTGAATAAAAAAGAGTAAATTCGATGTGTTCCAGGGCAATTATAGATTTTTTTGATCGTGAAGTAATTCGGTCGAACAGGTCTTTAGAACACAAAAAAACATTTTGGAACTGCTTTTAAATAGTTGAACTTTAAATAGGTTGGAACTGGTTCTATAGGAATTACGAACAAAAAATTGAATAAGTTCAATGTGTTCTAGAACACTAATTCGTGATTTAATTGTGATCTAGTTCAGGGTTTTATTTGACAGTAAATGAGTTCGGAACAGATTTAATATATTTTCTTGCGGTGCAACTGGTTCAAAACCTGTACACTCTTGCATTGAACCAGTGACGTCATATTGAACCTAGTTGAAAAAAGTTTGAACCGGACTCTTGGCTTATTCTCCGTTCACATAAACCTTCCATTTCCTCGCGTTCACCAGTGATGACGTCATCAGGCACAGTCAGTCGCAGCTGTTCAATATTCAGTGTACAGTGGGTGTTTTGGTTTTGTTGTTGTTTATTAAATTATGCTATTTAAAATAACAATTGTATAATTTAATCAATTTACCGTAATTATGGCATCTCTATCCAGCACAGCTCTAGTAAGTAATCAATGAAATTTTCCAGAAAAATCCTAAACCAAAATTCCTCATTAGGTCACCTTCCAAGGCATCCAGGATCAATATTCCTTGAACTCAGATTTAACTTTCCAGTTTACTTTCAAGTCTAGCCAGGATTTTCCTTTAAAAGACAGCTTGGCTATATTCAAATTAGGCTGGAACCATGTTACTGAATATGTGGCTATTAAATCTGCCCCTATTGATGTATCTCCGGAGCAAATAATATATTCAGTCACCTTTAATCAGCACATTTTGCCTAAAAACATTGAGGATTTGTTCCAGGTTTGCTACTTGAGGGGGCAGATTTTGTGTGGGGCAAGTTCCCCTTTTCAATTTACTGACAATGCTATGCCTACTAAAGATGAAGATTTTGAGATTGTATATGATAAAGCCCACAAAACAAGAGTTTTGAGCGAAAAAGACCAAGAAATTGAGAGGCTCAAGGAAGAAAACGAGATCTTAAGAGAGTCCTTAAGGACTCTTATAATTTCAAGTAAAAACAAGGATACCCTTAAGGAAATCAAAGGCATGAAAACCATGGTTTTAAGGCACGATGCCGAAATCAAGATGTTAAAAGACAAGATTAGAGCAGGAGGAGAAGAATACAAAAAGCTCTACATTGAAAACTTCATGGTGAAAACGAGATATGATAAGTTGAGGGCCAAGATGTTGGGCCTTAATGATGATGATGAAAAATGCACAACAAAAAAATATGAAAAATCAAAGACCAGGTTTCCGTACACTGATGATGAGGACTCTGATGATGGGATTGGGGTAGCTGATTTGGATTTGGACGATTTGAAGTCAATACCACCTTTTCCTTCGATTTTGAAAAAATAATCTTGTTTGTTTTGTATTTAATTTAGTTTTAGTATTTTTCTTTTTTTTTCTTTGTTAGGTATTTATTAATATTAGAATAATATATGTGAGGATTGAATCACATTTCATTTGTGATGCCAAATAATATTGACTTTGTTTGAATATCAGAATAAAAGTTTGTCTTAAATTTGTTTAAAATTTATTAATTTATCTAGTTTTTTTCTGGGTTATAAAAGAATGCTTTATAGTGAGCAATTTTGAAAACTCTTTACAGAACACTTTAGAACTTTGATAAGTCTTTTGGAAAGTTCAAATAAAATTTAATTCAGAATTTTCAAATGTATTCTGAACAATTTGGAAACTTCAGAACCATTTTAGAATGCTCCAAAACATTCATAAACCGGTTTACAATTTCCAAAAGTATTTTAGAACAATTCTAGAATCTGCAGAAATATTTTGGAAAACGCCATAATCTTAGAATTCCAGGTTAAAAGTAACAAAGGCCCAAAGGCGTTCAAGAGTGAATTTATATTGCTGTAGAACTTTAAATCTTTTGCTACGATATCGTTAACGGCGTCCGCCAGGCTGTCAAGAATCGATGGCGAAGATACTAGAATCTAGCGAATTATTCTACTTCAATCTGGAAAATTAGATAATCGTGTGTATTCTAGATTTTACGGGAATAGATTTAGGGATATATAAGAAGGCCGGCATTGATTTGTGAGTTTAAGTTTCAGTTCGAGTGTGATACGATTTAAATAGTGATTGTAAAGAGTTTAATTGTTGAGTTTGTTAATAAAGTAATTAGTGTCAGAGTGTTTTGTTAAGTGGAATACATTATTGCTGTGAATGCTGTGTTAATTGGACTTTGATTTTTGGAATAAGCGAAACGAACAACGAACCCAAGATTTTTGTCAGCAGGCAACCCAAAGCCGCGACATTGGTGCCAAGAAGTGGGATATAAAGGACTGCAGAGTGAAATCCAATTGCGGAAGTGTGGGGACACTAGTGTAGTGTAAAAACTGAACACTAAGTGAACACTACGACAGTTAGTGCAGTGCAAACAGTGACAATCACAAAAAGAGACTCAACCGATCGTGTGAATTACCCCGGAAGTGACTCTATACCCGATTTAGACTGTGATAGTGAATCTTCGAGTGAGTTCTAGAAAATTCTATTTGGAAATTAAGGGAGATATCGAATTTGTGACTTCGCCGACGTATTCGGAACATCAATCGTCATTCAGAAGAAGTTTTTCGAGGAGTTTCGGGAAAATTCTAGAACATTCTATTTGGAAACCAAGGGAGATATCGAAATTGTGACTTCACCAACGTGTTTGATGTATCAATCGACATCTAGAAAAGAAGTTTCAAGAAAATTCCAGAACATTCTATTCTAGAATAAGGCAAGTTATCCAATTTGTGACCTCACCGGCGTGTTTGGAACTTCGAGCAAAGACCAGAAAAGATATTTGAAGAAAGTTCGAGGGAAATTCTAGAACATTCTGTATATGCCTATCACAAGACAACAAGCCAAAATGGACGAACAAAAAGTTGAAGAACTCCTGCGCAAAATGTTGGAACTTCAAGAGACCAAACGACAACAAGAAAAACAAGACGAAGAAGCCAGACGAGAACAAGAAAAACAAGACGAAGAAGCTAGACGACAACAAGAAGAGGCCAGACGACAAAAAGAAAAACAAGAAAAAGAAGCTAGGTGACAACAAGAACGGCAAGAAGACCTTGGAAAACTACAGAAGATATTCCAAACCATACAAGGAACTGTCGCTAACCTAGACCAGAAGATTGAAAAAGTTAAAGACGAGGTGCAAGAAGTTAAACACGACGTCCAGGAAGTAAAAACTCGAGGGGGTAACATCTTGAGGCAATACTGTCACAAATTCTTAACAATCGCTTGCAATCACTTAAATTGCCGTGGCAATCTCAGTCGCAGTCCCGCAATCGCGTTTGCAATCTCACAATCGCTTTAAAACAATCCTGCAATCGCATTTGCAGTCCCGCAATCGCTGTCGCAATCTGACAATCACATTGACATTGGTAATCGCGTACGCTTCCACCTGTTTTAAGGTACAATCGTGTGCCGCGCATGCGCAGCCGCGCGTTTATTTGTTTGTAAATAGTGAGAGTCAGCGCAGTCGGCAAAGAGAAAGACTGACAGACAAATTTCTTGCTATTTTATGTTATTCATTAGCGATTAAACAGTTATTTTCTGTGTTATCAAACTGTGGTGCGATTATTACCATAAAGGCCGATTTACACGTATCCAGTAGCTGGCGCCAGTCTCACTGGCTGCCTGGCATGCCAATTCTGGGCTGGCAAAGCGCTGGACCCAGGTCGTCTACATGAGTTCAGTTAATCGTGAGTTTTCACTGCGGTAAGTATTCACACGATGTCAGAACTGGACTGGAACGACATGCAGTGAGACTGGAGCGAGGACTGGCGCGAGCTACTGGATACGAGGGAATCGGCGTTGAAGGTAAAAGCCTGCACCCAAATTACTTCCTATAGAAAATATTAATTGACTGCATTTGTAAGTTTAGAATTTCGATTTAACGGGATTTCTTTATTCAAATCCATTTTATTCATATGGAGGTCACACTTTGGGATACCCTGAAGAATATTTTGAGTACAAATATCCTGAACCAAAAGATGATTTATCAAGCCAAAATAAATTATTCAGTGAATATACCATTGAAGAGCTAAATAATGATGTGTAGGAATAATTGAATTCAGTTTCAAACTATGATTCACTAGATATTGAGGATTACATTGATCACAATAATTCAAAAACATTAAACCCTAGCCTTCTAAAAATAAAAGTTTAGGACAAAAATTTGTTGGTGAAAAAATAAACACTGTGCTGGCTATTTTCTAATAAAAACAGAAAGTTATCATCAACAGATAGAAATCTCAGATGCAAAAGATATGCAAAGTTGTCAAAAAAAATAAATAAAGTAACAGTACAGCACCAAGTAGGAATAGAGCCTATCAAAAGAGCAAAAATAAAAAACTGCAATAAAAAAGGGCTCCAAAACATGGAAGATGCCAAAACCTCTGAAAGTGGAAGCTATTCAGAAAAAAAAAAATGAATTGGGAAATGAAAGCAGAGGAAAATACATTTTGTGAAGAAGTGTCTCTGAAAAATGAAGAATACTATGCTGCTGCATATGATACATAATACATGACATAATAGCCGGATCATAGAGACGTTAGATGTTGATATAAAGTATAAAATGAAGTTCCTCAGAAGAGATCTTGATGATTACATTTGGCAAGATGAAGATATGCAAATAGTTGCAAAAAATATATATTTCATGGCCCCATTGTTTTGCAGGGAGATGGTCTTTTTCATCTTAGAAAGCAAGACGAGGTGAATATCGGGAATAGGTTCAAGATCGCAAAAATGTTTGTATCCATCCAACTTCGTTTTTAAGTTTGTTACAAGTACAGGGTCTATTCCTTATAATTAGTGCGGCTTCTACAACTTGAACAAAAAAAAAGTTAAATACAAAAGTTATAGGGTTTTATCTCTATTATATTGCCCATGTCAAAACCAGAGATAAATACTATATGTATAAACTGTCGAGAATGGAATCTCAGTGTAAATTTTTTTGTCAACAAAATTGAGCCAAGCCAGCAGCGTCATCTACTATATTGGAAAAATTACTATTTACTGGTTTTGCATCGACGCTACAGACACCTACTTTACATAGTGCTTTAAGGAATTCTTATGATCGATAGCGCCCTGTTCGCATTACTGTCGGACTGTTCAAATTTGTTAAACTGGGAACAAAAAATGAATATGCAACCGGGAACAGACCTAATTTAGGGTAACGTACAGTTGCGATAAAAAAAAAGTAGTAAAAGAAAAATCTCCAAGATCTTCTGGTCTATTATACATTAATTTAATTTATAACCAAAAATTACATATTTTTGGCATTTATGACAAGTATTTAACCTCGAAAGCGTCAGATGACATTACTTTTGCATTTTTCCACCTGTTTTTAACCTAGAAAATGTCATTCCTTGAACCTTCATATTTTGAAATGTTTATTTACTGTCAAAATTTTGTATGTTAGACCGGGAGCTCAACTTGGGGTTAATAATTTTTGTACTACTTTTTTTTTTATCGCAACTGTACCATCGTCACCAAAAGTAACTGGGACAGCATCATATTAGCTCTTGTACTATTATATGAATTTTATTATCAAATATCTGTCAAATTATGAATTAAATGCATTGAAATTAATGACGGCAGAATTAGTCCAGGAGATTATCATGCATTATTTTTGTCCCAGATACTTTTGGTGACGATTGTACATGCATTTTTAAATTTAAATATCGTAAAAATAGCTAAACCAAATATCAACATTTTTGGTATATCTGGAATCAAAAGAAAACAATCTATTATTATAATTTTATCCACAAATATACAGGGTTTTCCATTTGATAAAATGCAAGTGTTTGTCATTATGACAGTTGGCAGTGTCATTTGCCCGTTTTGACATGTGCAATTCTGTGTATGCAAAAGATAATAAGTAGGAATATCAATAAAACCCTAAAACTTTTGTATTTACTTAATTTTTTTTATTATTTTCACAAGTTATAGAAGCCGCACTAATTATAAGGAACAGACCCTGTACATACCCATATAGGTACTTACTTTGAAATCCTTGAAAGAATAGCAAAATAAATATTTGTTCATATTTTTATTTGTGGATTAATAATCTAATTGCCAAAATAAATAAATATGTTCCCTAGATATATATGTCAGTGTAACTCAGTAACTCAAGCAGCTACCAAAAACCTTTCTCAGTCACTCACAATCGCCTACAATCGTCTGCAATCATTCACAATTGTGTGCAATCATTCAAAATCGTCTGCAATCATATGCAGTCACATTGCAATCCTCCAAAATCCAACAATCGCCTCACAATCCCGGGATTGTAGTCGCAATCGCAGCAATCGTAGGGAAATCGTAGGGATTGTCGCAATACTGTCACAAAATTTAAGAAGATGTTACCCCCTCGTAAAAACTGAAGTCAAAATCGATGTTCAAGAAGTTAAAAACGACGTTCAGGGAGTAAAAGCTGAGGTCAAAGCCGATGTTCAGCAATTAAGACAAGAAGTTGAGGACCAAGTTCAAGCACTCGAAGATAAGATGCG